GGCTAACCGATTACCAGTGACAAGCATAGATTTAGTTTTGGTTTCATTAAGGATCATTCTGTTGTCAGCTGACCAATTCAAGATTTTATCATTCGGTGCCCCCTCTCGGTTTTGCCTGGTAAAAGCCATGCACGTTTAATGTAATGCAAGGTAGTGCTTCAACTACCGAGAGAGTAGTTATAAAATATGATTCATTTTGTGAATTGAACAGGTCGAAGTGTTTTTAACAACTCGTAATTGAAACACACCTGCCACCATTGTTTAGATCCGTCAGTAAATGTTATCTTTCTTTTATTTACTTTGAATTACAGCCTCTAATCTCGGACAGAAAATGAACCACATAGAGGCAGTCATCCTTACTGCCGGCATAGGTATATTCGTTGCTGATTTCCTGCGAAACATTAATTGTGTTCATAAATCCATCGACTTGTGCAACGAATGTTTAATCGTTGTAAAGAGTAACTCACAGACAAGACAAGACCGCCCAATCTACCGCAGAATCTTAACCACCATTTTCCTGGGGTATCGTCTTCTGGCTGATTACATAAATGCAGAAACGTATGCCAGAAAACTGATTACCTTACACCGTGAAATTGGGGACACAGTCAACGAGGGAAATATGTACGCAGCCTTAGCAGAGATAAGACGGAGTCAGAAAAGGTTTCAAGAAGCAAAAAGACTATATGATAATGCTATTGATATCGCATTACAAGCTGGTGAAAAGGAAAGACAAGCAGATCTTTTTCGAAAAATGGGAAAGATGTCTTGGAACCTTTGTGAATATGGTAAAGCTAAGGAATATTTTGATAGAGCACTAGCAATCTACGTAGAAATTGGTGACAGAGCAGGAGAAGCTATATTGTTGGGAAACCTTGGAATTTTTAATCGCTCACTTGGTAAATTTGGTAAGGCCAAAGAGTATCACGAAAAGGCACTTATGATAGGAACCGAAATCGGCGACAAAGCCGAAGAAGCATCATCGTGCACTAACCTGGGGATTGTGTTTAGCTTACTTGGCGAAAACGTCAAAGCCAAAGAATTGATCGAAAAATCCATAACAATGAAAATAGAAATTGGCGATAGAGCTGGACTGGCAACATCGTACGGACACCTAGGAATAGTACTTAGCTCGCTTGGTGCACGAGAAAAGGCCTTGAAATGTCACGAAAAAGCACTTGAAATAGAAATTGAAATGGGATACAAAGCAGAAGCATTTTCTTACGAAAACCTTGGAATCGTGTTGAGCCAGCTTGGAGAATATTCAAAGGCTAAAGAATATCTCAAGAAAGCAACTGTGATGAGAATTGAAATTGGCGACAGAGACGGAGAAGCAACTGATTACTTAATCTTAAGCGATCTCTTTCGCTCCCTCGGTAAATTCTCAAAGGCTACAAAATATCTTAAAAGAGCACTTGCAATCAAAATTGAAATCGGTAACAAAGCAGAAGAAGCCATGTGTTATGGAAACCTTGGAATATTGTTTAGCTCCCTTGGCGAATACGTCAAAGCCCAAGAATACCACGAAAAAGCACTTGCGATTAGAAGCAGAATTGGCGACAGTGTAGGCGAAGCAACAGATTATGGTAGCCTCGGGGTTTTGTTTAGCCGTCGGGGTGAGTACAACAAAGCCATAGATTACCATGAAAAAGCACTTGCGATCAGCACGAAAACTGGCGACAGAGAAGGGCAAGCAGCAAATTACGGAAACCTCGGAGATATATTTAGTTTGCGTGGTGAGTACTTAAAGGCCATAGGCTATTTCGAGAAAGCACTGGAAATCACCATTGAAATGGAGCAAAAAGCAAGAGCGGCAACGTTTTACGGATACTTGGGGACTGTGTTTAATTCCCTGGGTGAATATGTCAAGGCTAAAGAATATCTCGAGAAAGCTCTTGCAATTAAAATTGAAATCGGCGACAGAGCAGGAGAAGCAACAGTATATATGCTTCTAGGGAAATTGTTTAGAAGCCAAGGTGGCTATGTCAAGGCAATAGACTATCTCAAAAAGGCGTTGGCAATAAAGGTTGAAGTTGGCGACAAAGAAGGAGAAGCAAAATTCTACGAACATCTTGGAACTGCATTCAGCACAATTGGTAAATACAACATGGCCATAGAGTGTCACGAAGAAGCAATTGCAATCTGGATCAAAATTGGAAACAAAGCAGAAGAAGCTTCACCTTACAGAAATCTAGGGATAATGTATTCTGAGCGTTGTGAATACGTCAAGGCAATAGAGTTTCACGAGAAGTCACTTGAGATCAGCACCAAAATTGGTGACAAAACAGGAGAAGCATCATCGTACGGTAACCTGGGCACTACATTTGAAGGGCTTGGTGAATACGTCAAAGCTAAAGAATATTTTGAAAGAGCACTTGCGATCAGAATTCAAATCGGCGACAGATCAGGAGAATCAGCATCTTACGCAAATCTAGCAACAGTATACTATTCTCTTGGTACATACATCAAGGCAATGGAATATTTCGAAAAAGCGCTTGCTATGAAAACTGAATTCGGCGACAGAGCAGGAGAAGCAAATTTAAAAGGAAGCGTAGGAACTGTATTGGCCCTACTTGGTGACCACACGAGGGCCAAAAAATGTTACGAAGAAGCACTTGCCATCAGTGTTACATTTGGGATCAGAAGCATAGAAGCCGGTCTTTACACCAACCTTGCAAATTTACATCGACTTCTCTGCAATTACGGAGTTGCGGAAATGTATTATGAGAAGGCATTGCGTTTAGCCAAAGATATTGGCATGGGTAAGACGGAGTTAGACGCTTTCCTTGGTCTTGCGATTTCAAAGTTATCACAGGGAGCCTTGCAAGAAGGCTATTCCTATCTCTTACACTGCATTCAAAAATTTGAAGAGTTGCGAAATTTCCTCAGCGTCAATGATGCCTTTAAAACATCATTCCTAGAGAGGGCCGGTGTATATCCCTACGAGGTCCTGAGTTCAGTGCTTTCTTTTCGTGGAAATCATCGAGACGCTCTTTATGTCGAGGAGCTTAGGCGAGCAAGAGGCCTATCAGACTTAATGGCAAATCAATATTCTATTGCACCATACATCACAGCCGACCCAAGATCATGGTTTGGAATTGAAAACATTTTAAAGAAGGAATAAAAATGTGTTTGCCTATACATTTCACTCCATCTTGATTATGCGCGTTTGTGGATCTTAAAAACAAACGGAGCCATTCATTTCAAAGAAGTTACAGAGGGAGACTCGTTTGTTCAGGCTGGAGGGGATGTACATTTGCGAAATTTTTTGGCTAAGACCTTCCGGAGTTTTGAGTGTTTTCCCAGTGAGGATTGTGAAGATCGATCCCTACGTATAAGTGAGCCGAGCCCTTATTCACCCAATGCGGAGAACGGGACAACCTCGCGCCTAGTAGAGGAAGAAGACAAAGAAATGCGAGAGGAATTTTCAAGTCTTTCTTTGTGTTACAAAATCTTCATCGCTCCAATCGCTAATTTGCTTGAAGAGGCCGAAGTCATTATTGTTCCTCATGAGAGCTTATACAAAGTTCCATTTGCAGCCCTGGGCGAAAAAGAGGGAAAATGCCTATCGGAAACTTATAGAATCCGCATAGTTCCTTCTTTGACAACACTCAAACTAATTCAGGACAGTCCAGTGGACTATCACAGTGAGTCTGGTGCGCTGATAGTGGGTGATCCACAGGTGGGCTGGGTGATGTACAAGGGAGGTCATGTAAAGTGGTCGGAATTGCCTTGTGCTAGAAAGGAAGCTCAGATGATTGGGCGTCTTGTGGGCGTTACACCTTTGTTGGGAAACAAAGCAACGAAGAAGGCAGTACTCGAAAAGATATCTTCAGTGAGTCTGATACATTTTGCTGCACATGGTGATGCTGAAAGAGGAGAAATCGCCCTTTCTCCCATACTTGACCCTGGCCTTTCTGGCTTTTATCCGAAAGAAGAAGACTATCTTTTGACAATGTCTGACATTTCCCGAGCCAAAGTCAGAGCCAAACTTGTAGTTCTTAGCTGTTGCCACAGTGGAAGTGGACAGATAAGAGCGGAAGGAGTTATTGGAATCGCTCGAGCTTTCTTAGGATCCGGTGCTCGGTCCGTGCTGGTTGCATTATGGGCCATATCAGACAAAGCAACAGAAAAGCTTATGAGTTGTTTCTACAAGCATCTTGTCGGCGGGGAAAGCGCCAGTGAATCACTTCATCAGGCCATGAAGTGGATGAGAAATAACGGCCTTACCAGAGTCTCTGACTGGTCGCCTTTTGTGCTGATTGGTGATGACGTGAAAATTAAAATCAAGGCTTGAGAGTACCACTAAACGGGTAAATAAATTGTTATTTCTTGTTACATCCTAGTGGTCTAGAACGCTATTTTAGCCTTCCAAAGCCGACGATAAAATGTAGATAGTTCTGCATTTTTCTTTAGCATACTGAATTGACCAAAAGGCTCAGAAGGTTGTTTAAAAGAGATCAAAACTATAGATTCATAGCCAACCTTAATATGAACATAGTTAAAACTTATGTTTACTGTGACCATCATACGACCCCAATGTTTAGAGTCCCTTTAATGACTCCTGATCGAAAGCCACCCTTCCCTTCTTCACCGGAAAAGCTGAGTCCCTCTTGTCATTTCAATTTTGCTATTTTCTGTTAGGCTTTGCAACTATATTTGGTCATAACAATTGAGCATTTATAGTCACAGTAACACGTTTCAATATTAGCTAATGAGTACAGGAACCCATTCTTTATTTTTACTCACAAAAATCTTCACTGTTACTCACAGCTACTCCTTTAATAGTCCAACAAGGCTTGAATTTAGGGATCAGAGGTGACAAAAACTACTGGAGCTATTTAAGCTCGATGGTTTGAACGTAGCCTCTTAGAAGCTCAAAGTATGTCCTTTCTTTTGCAAAAAAAAAAAAACTTAAATACGTCTAGTGCTGATAGCATTAGTGAATCGTGTTGACTAAAAATTGAATAAACCTCCAATTAAAGACCTCATTTTGTGTCTCAGGAAAGAGGACTTCATCAAAACGAGACGAAACCATTTACAGGCCTAGGCAGGCAAGAGAGGACCCGACTTACTAGAAAACTTGTCAAGGTTTACCTACAGTTTCGTAAAAAGGGAGTTCGAGTGTTTTTCTGTTCACACCCCTAAGGCAACATACTAGGTATGTGATTTAATGCATTATCTAGCGAATTTTTTTGATACAATGCTTGACAAACACCCAAACATTTCTATTGTCTGCGTTGGCGATTTTAATCGCCTGGATCTCACGAGACTGAAACGCATCACTGGTTGGAACGCTTTGATGGATTTTCCAGCACGTGAGGATTCATTCCTGGATAATTGTTTTACAAATAGGCCAGATCTCTTTGGAAAAACTTACCTTATAAAGATGCTAATCAAGATGGATCACCTTGGATTTATCGTTCCAGCTGGCAAGAAACTTAAGCCTATTCGTCAGAAAGTGCAATTTAGGGATTGTCGTGAACACCGGAACAAGCTCTTTATTTGGCCCTAGCTTCGGAAAGCTGGGAGGAAATTTTGGAGGCCGATAATATTGAAAAAACGGCGAACATCCTAGAATTGAAAATCCTGTCAAAGTATTAACAGGTGCATGCCTTTACGAACGGTTACCTTGTCAACGGGTGATCCAAGATGGATAACACCTGTAGTTAAATATTTGCTACGAGTCAAATCTCGCATCTCGCTTTTACGCATCGATCAACTTAAAGAACTTAGTAGAAGGGTGTCAGAGGTTATTGGCGAAAAGATGCAGTAGGATGCTTTTGGAGGGCAAGATGGGGAGTAAAGAATGGTGGGAAAATGTAGACTTGATATCTCAACGCCAGCGATCCACAAACGTTTCACTGGATACTGAGACCGCCCAAGACTTGAATGAGTTCTTCGACGAACTCTGTACTGACAGCGATTACGTTGAGCCAACGTTACTCGAAATTAGTCCTGAAGTGAAAGTCCCGGAAATTAGTGAACGATATGTATGGAACACATCGACAGATAGATTCACTCGACAGAATTAATAAATCAGTTTGTACGGTGGACAGGCCAATAAAGAATGAAGTCAAACTCAACAAAATGTAAAGAGCTTATTATGTGTAAAAAAAGTATACGCTGCCGATGCCTACAATAGTATCTTAGGCATACCACAGACTAGTGAAATCATCATTCTAGGCCTCAAATTTCAGCCGAAATTTCAAATTCAGCTCTCATCTTAAAGAAAAGTTATGTAAAGCTAACAAATGCTTATAAGTCGACAGATGTCTGCGAAAAGAAAACTGTAGCCAAGCAGAGGTAGACCAGTTATTCTCATCCAAAATATTACCTAATCATGATTACTTATGCTTTATCTGTGTATGGTGCCTCTGAGTCAGATCTTACTGTAGCCCAGCAGTTTTTAGACCGATGTTTTAAACGCAGATATACATCTAAGAAATTAGAGATACATGAGTTACTCAAAGCGCAGGATCACAGAATTCATAGGAAGGTTTTTAGTATCCCGAACCACCCTCTTACAGCGAATTTCCCCGAGACCAAGAATACAAGATACAACTTAAGGAATAAATTTTACGCTATGCCAGCCATTAACACGGACCGTTTTAAGAATACATTTTTCAATAGAATTATTTTTAAGTATAATGTAGTTTAAGTATAGTGTACATTTTCCAGTTGATTTTTTGAATTTATTTCTATTAATATATGAATCTTATTTAGAGGCATAATTATGTAAACAGCCCCCTATTGCTGCTATATTTCAATGTAGCATAAGATATGTAATTTTATCTTTTGAGCAATATAAAGACACTTACTTAGACGCTTTCTTACATCCAGTCCATATTTGTTCCACTGAGACTTCTTATATTAGACAACGTATTAGAAGTGACAGACTTTCTAAACAAGGCTGAGCTAAATCAACGGCGAAATAAGCCGGCTTTTAGATACATGTTAGAAATCAGACTTTATTGATAACAATTTGTGTAAAGTCTGTGAGGGTTCAAGGATGTTGCTTTCATAGTGATGTCATCCAGGAATGTGTTCCAATCTTCAAAGGCCAACTGTGCGTGAACATCTCAGACTGTACGAAACTTACGTCAGGTGAATATCATACCCATAAACTTAAACATTACTCTTAGGCGATCGTAACCTTCACAGAATAATAAAGGGAGAATCATTTAGTTTTTTCAATACAAAGTTTCGCTAGCTTAATCGTTTGGTTTTGTTCTTAAATTAGTTACTTTTTTTTATTACCGGTGTGCCTTTTTTCAAAGCTATCAAATCATACTACTTACAATTTCTTGGTATACACCATGCAAGTAAAAATTTCTCATCATTCGTGTCCAACTCTAAGGTCAGTGATAACCCAGGTACTGACTCACCCCCGAGAAGCCCTAGAGGAACAAAATAATCCTTTGCTTCACTATAGTGTCCGCAGATGAAACTTAATCCATAAACGAAAGGGTTCATACCCAACAACATAAATAAAGTAAAGATTTGTTTAAAATTACATAATGGTGAGTTTGTTAATCTTTCAACCTCAAATTCTAAGAAGAGATGTCAAAATAGAATACCTTGTTCACAAAAGTGAATGGGAAGAATTCATATTAAGAATCTAAACAGTGAAACTTGCAATGGTACTGTTTGGGGCATGGTTTCACCAACAGGACGAATTTCACACTGTTGCTGAAGAAATAGTAGTAGTGGTAGTAGTAGTAGTAGTAGTAGTAGTAGTAGTAGTAGTAGTAGTCTTTATTTAAAGAGGGTAGCACATAATAGTTAAAAAATAATAAACTTGTGGCCCTCTAATAACGCTGTAGCAAATGAAAAAGCGCCTTCAGCCTATGTACCAAATTTTATGTTCCCATACTTGCTAAAGAGCGAGCTTGAACAATCTCTATTAGGCAGAAACAGAAACCAAAAATAATTTGCCTTCCTCACCAAAAATCTTTATCAAGGAGAGCTTCCACATTTAAAGGAACCTGAAACGTTTAGGAATCTTATACAAATATGATAATCTAGCCTCATTCAAATGCACTTTGTTAGAAATCACAATTTTAATCAAATCTGCCACGAAACCATTAACGTACATGAGACAAATAACGCTCAAAACAACTGTTAAAACAAAGCTGCCGGGATGCCTGATGATCAATCACAGAGGCAAATGTTAAGCCTCTTCATGCTGCTGAACCTTCTCTCAGCAGCACAATAGACACAGGATGCGCGCGAGCAGGCTCTTGATGGCTACATAAATCCCAGGGTAAAGTTCTGGGTTGGCGGAGTCCAGCGTTTTCACCAAGGTCTGCGGAATGCCTCCTTCATTCGAAAGCCACTTATGACGCCACCTAGTCACCTTGCGTTTGAATTGATCGTGGGACATATGCATGTCTTCGCCGTAATGGTCATAGATGACCTCTACGCTTTTTCCTGTCAGGTCTTGAAGGTTTCCTGAAATTCGAACTTGACATTTAGAATAAATGTAACGCATACATAAAATGAAATGTAACGGTATCAACATGAGAACAAGCAAGTACCCGGTATCAGATGTTGTGCCTACAAGTCTGGCGAGAGTTTCACTAACAGTCTGTTAACTTCCGAAGCAAAATAATCTAGAAATGGAAGGTACATTACCCTCTTCTAATAGGCGGAAGAAGTATCTGCCTCAACGTTTTCACGGCGTTTCTGCCTCCCAGCAAATCGAGTATACTACGAAGACAAGCCGAGGTGAAAACAACGCGTTCGGCTTTACCATTCAGCTTGTTACCTGCTCGCTAATTTCGCTTAATGCATCATTCAAGATTCGTTCGACCAATAGATCAAGTCGCTTCACTAGAAACCGACATTCGGGTGTGGGAAAAAACAGTCCCTTATTTAGAAAAATATACGTCAAAACGAAACAAGCGCCGTCAATGAGTTGAGGCAATCTATGCTTTTTTTTAACAATTATCTTTTATTTTTTTGTCTTTTTGTTTTTTTCATTTTGCTATTTTATTATTAATTTTTTTTTTTTTTTTTACCTTTTTAAGCACGCACGTGGGTACGGTACGTACAGGAAGCTATGTCCCTGGACAGAAAATTGCGTAGGTTTGTGTTAAAAATTTTGAAATTTCTGAAAGTAAATTTAAGATCATCTATTGAGCAATAATATCAAAAATTATCAACACTGAAAAGGACATCAACTGTTCGAAAAAAGAAGCGAAAACTAAGTTAAAATCTCATGCATTTACGTGACCCGTGTGGCAGATTTAGCTTTCTTGAATTGTTGTTTACTAAAATTGACTACCAGAAATTGCGTAGCTTTGTGTTGAAAATGTACGATTTCAAAACAAAATATTCTATTACGCAACGCTTTTGGGACATATCAACACTTCATAATAATATTTAACGCTCTAATGAAGAGTTCCCAACGTCGCAAAGCCTCCCTTGAAGTCAGAATTACTCAGTTTTATTTTCAGCCATAATTGGCATTGCGTTTGGGAATGAATTCGTCAACCCTAAAACTGATTTCGTTGCTTTATAGAGCTACATGCTCATCGTTTTTCAGCTAGAGTATTATTTAGCATGTTTCATTTTCATTAAGAGGTCCAAAAGGTCTTTCTCGATCGGAATAAAACGAAATATCAATCTTGAAAGTTTTGAAACCTCGCGGCTGAACTCGACTGAAACATTTCAACGACAATGACGTCAGCCTGAATCGTCTCTATGAACTTTCCACTTTTTTTCATAAAATATCAATCAATCAGGACGTGCGTTATGGTGTAGCTATGTTGTAAACGGAATCGCCATAAATCTTGAGGGCACGTTCACTTTACAAGCAGTTTTTGCTCTCTCGTAAATGAGATGTTCAATATATATGTCAATGAAAATCCAATTAGTTTCACTCTAAAATCTTATGGAAGCAAAAACACGCCAACCTTTCCTTGTCGGCGAGCAGTTCGGGGAATTCTAGTCGAGAATTTCCAAGACTTTTTCACTTAAACCGCGTAGTGAGAGATAAAGGGTTAAAACGGAGTAGACAGATAGTTAAACTGAATTTTGAATAGAATCGTTTGATAATGTTAGAAAAATAAAAACTTTTTCGTTGTTTTTGGCGTTCGAAATGTCCTCTAAATCAAAGGCCTTAACAATTAAAACTTGTGGCGCTATTTGACAGGAGAGGAAGGTGTTTCAGTTATCCAGGGCTAATAGGCAAATATAAAAATTTTTTGGCCAATCAGAGTGCGTGTTACGTAAAAAAAATCAACATTGAAAAAAAATACAAAAAAATTAACGACCTGCGTTGTAAAAGGTATAGTATCCAACAATAAAAATCTATCAAATGATGAGAATTTAAGTAAGTTTTTTTTCATAATTTTATTCAAGACCGGTGATTTAAAGTTCTTAAACGCAGCCAAAAAATAAACCTTAACACCCATTGTTTTCAAAGCTTCTATAACCCAAATGAAATTAAAACCACAATAGCCATAAATTCTTTCGACTGAGACACAACTTCTTGTAAAATTTCGGGCGATTTGATCGCCTTTTGCGAAAATCTCACTTTTCCTTCGGAGGATTCATAAGATAATAATATACTCTCTCTGCTTCAATTTTAAAGACGACAAACTTCCCAGGTATATAATAAAGGCAACATATTCCACCACCAAAGCGAACTACTAAAAAAGAAAAAACCTTATTTAAGTCTGAACTAGTCCAATTTTCCGGTCCTGCCCAAGGAGTAGTAGTTAGACCACCATCAGCCTGACAGCATGTCCAGCGGTCGTTTTTGAGGTACGTCCTGTGATGGTCACCAGCACATCATTTTGAGCACCACGGGTAGCTGATCTTGGTGCCTTGAATCTGACAGAGAAGAACCTTTTCCTGTCCTTGTGAACAGTGATGGTAGAGCGGCGAAGGGGAACTGCAAATTTTAGGTGATCTTTGACGCTGATGGCAAAACTCTCTGTTCGTCCATTGTTGTAGGCCACAAACATCACGAACCCACTTCCTCCGGCCGGTACTGTATACTCGTTCCTTGCGTATTGAACTCTGATCAACGCATAGCTGGGATACACCGTGTTACGCCCATACCTTTCAAAGGCACGTCCGGTTTTGGTCTTTCCTTTCACTTTTAGCATAAATGCTACGGTAGGAGGGATGAATGAAGCTGAAAAATGGACGCCTTTTGTCCCATGAGGTTTAGCAGTGGCTGTGTGTAAGCGTTTCCCATCTTGGCTCATTAAATCTACGCTTAATGACTTTTCGTTGATCTTGTTCACCCCAGCAATCGTGATGATCACCACAGCTTTCTTTCCTGGAATGAAATTGTATATTTTTAGCGAGGAAAGTAAGTTTTCCTATTCCGTGACACGAAACCAATGATAAACGAGCTAGGTCCTTATTTCAAATCTACTAATTATTTTTTCATTTATTTTCATTCTATTATCTGTTTTAAACCTACTATAATAGAGAAGGAAATAGCGTTGGTACTAGGGGTTACCTAAAGAAATAGTTCTTTTTAAAAGAATTGTCGCCATCAGCTAACCTGAGGCGTATGTGCTCCATTCCAAAAACGAGGAAATTTGTGTTCCCCTTCAGAATACTTTTTCTAATTTCCTTCCCTTAAGCCGGTAGAAGCGTGCGATAGCGTGTATTTTACTCATAACTTGGTCTTAAAATCCCAGAGGCCCCTTACTGCTTGAGCTTATCCAACTTATCATAGGATAAAGAAAAAAGGATTGGCATTCAACCCTGAAACAATTCGACGGGTTTCCCTTACACCCCTGAGTTAAGAAAAGCGTTGTGACTGGAAGTATCAGCCAACTCTTAGTGATGATCTTTCGCCTTTGCTAAGTTTTGAGATAGCTCGCATTCATGACTTTTGTGCGATACACTGTCATTCACTCAGATGATTGACCCATTGTACTAACCTAGTAAGGGATGTGAAACTGGTATTGGCTTGTTGCTACCAGTAGTTGGAATCATCACAAAGAAGTACTCAAAGTCAACATTCGTTTTACTCAAGCCTTTGATCTGGTAAGTATGTTTTCCGCCTCCTACCACTGTCAGTTTCCACGTTCCTGGCCTGGGGTTGTGGATTTCATAGATAGCTCCCCTGGACAAAGATATCTTGCCTGAGTTGACGAGTGCCCCTCTTGCGTCCCTTACATAAATGCTCGGACGATTTCTTTCGGTTGAGACTGAAATTATGATACTTTCAACGGAATCGTCGATAGGGATATGATATGTGTAAGAAGAGCCCCTTGGACTTCGGCGCCTTTTTCCACTTGGACTTTTACTGTTTCCTTTTGCAATGCAAGTTGTTCCTCCAAGTGCGGCTCCAACGCTACTAGACAATTTCCTAAGTTCATTGGCACTTGATAGTTTTAGCATTTGACCACCAGTTTCACATGCTAACTCCTCAAATGGTCCATATGAGGATTTGCCGCACAAGTTGCCCGTAGTAAAGAAATTTATCGTGATACCCATCCCTCCAACAAGTTCTTGGATTTCCGCGAAGTTTTCGCTCTTGTCTTTGTCAAGTGCTGATGCGTCAGTGAAGACATATAGGGGAGACCCGTAATTTGGATTTTCAAGCATAGCGTCAAGGATGCCTTTAAAGGTCCGCTCAGGACAGTCTCCGCCACTATGAGCGCGAAGAGCATCAATGGCGCTGATAAACTGGTTCTTCTCAGTGGCGCTTTTGTAAATCACTGGTCCGGTTCCTTGAAATATACAAAATGTAAGAATAAGTTGTTTCTCATAGCATGTTTAAGTATAACCCCAAATTCCAATTCAACCTGCTAACCTATTAGTTGAACAGCTCTCTACATGCCAATTGTGGTTCTTGTTCTTTTTTGTGTTTTTGCTTGTTTGTTTTTTTCTTTCTTCCTTCTTTTAACAGTATGTACATTAAATGCACAACTGAAGAATATCTGTAGTTGTGTTTTGAATTCACGTTTACCAGCTTAGTCTCCGCTCGTTCTTTGTTAGGATGAGAAAACCTTTGATTTTTTTTATTTTTCAATAACCAAGTATTCAAGATAATTTCTTTTTAGTCCTATCTTACCTCATATTCCCCGAAAAATGAAATAAAAAATCTCTTTATAGGAGACGGGAGACTATCACATATTTTCATGCAACCGCGTACGGTGAAACCTGTATTATGTGGTCACCTTGCCTTAGGCAGCCGTGGTCACCCTTAATTTACCGAGTCCCAACTGTTCTCCACCTGTATCTAACGGTCAATTGAAGCACATCAAGTAAAAAACCAAGAACAATTTTTCAAGCAAAATTGGATCCATGTTTATCTTCCAAAACTATGTAAGTAGTATTTCTTAGCGAGGCATTGTGAATTAAGTTGGCAGCATATACCGTTTTTTATCGTTTTTTATAATATTGCCAATCTGTGGAACCTATATTTAGCCGTCAACCTTTATTTAGCGGTTATCCTGTCACGCATTCCTCGTGGGTGACAGCTTAATACAGGTTCGACTGTATCCAAAAAGTTTGGATATATCAACAAAATTGAAATGGTAAATTGGCCACCCTAACGATTACAACAGCTGACGTTTCGAGCGTTAGCCCTTCGTCGGAGCGACGAAGAAGGGCTAACGCTCAAAACGTCAGCTCGAAACGTCGCTCCGACAAAAGGCTAACGCTCGAAACGTCAGCTTTTGTAATCGTCACGGTGGCCAATTTACCATTTCAACTTTGTTGATGTATCCAAATTATTTCGTTACCCCAACCGACGCAGCCCCAAACAGTTTCTTTAGAAACTATCAGCCTTTATTCAATTGTATCCAAAAAGGATGATTTTATAAATAGGACGGGCAACAGAGCCCGAGAAAGGCTTTCAAATATAATTAATTTATTATTTATAATTAAATTAGGCCCCCCTACAAAAGGACTTGATTTTAATGATCGGACTCGTGGGAAAAAGAAATTTGGATCCATATTTTGGGGCGAATGATTATTCAGGTTTAACTAACGATGCTGCTTTAATCACTAGTTATATATAGTTATCCATACCAGGATCGTTGAATGCAGAGAGAATAAAGTCCACTGGTTCATCTCTTTTATGATTTACAATTGATTTTGCGATGTCCTTAGCCGCCTGAATTTCATCACTCATGCTTCCAGTATCATCAATGGCAAACATCAACGTAACCTCGCCATGGACACTCAAAAATCTTTGGAATTCCGAATTTCCAAGCTCTTTTTCGATGGATTTCATAAAATTTTTCACCGCGTTAGTTGAAGATCGCCGCTTTCGACCTTTTTTCTTGTTCAGTTCTATCACCGTGTACAAACCATGGCCAAGGGACTTGCGTGCGAAGATGTAGTTGCGTTTCTCGGTCGCCAACTTGATAATTGATTTTATCTTTGCCAGTCGCCTACTACTGTGATGATTTCGTGAACCAGCTGCCTGCGCCTCATAAACAGCCCGTTCAATTTGATCAACTGCTTCCAAGAACTTATTGGATGGCGTGGTTCGCTTTGCAGGTGGAGGTGGAGGTGGAGGTGGAGGTGGAGGTGGAGGTCGTAGCCGACGATAAGTTGACCCTGGGAATCAAAGAATCATAAGTCACAGTTGAGAAATACAATTCTGACTAAATATTTTTGAAAAGAAAACGATTTTTAAATTTATATCATCGAAAGGGACTTCTTAATTCTGCTTTTCTTACGATATTTCATTTTTGTGACCCGTGCATCTTAAGCCTGTGCGGCGAAAATCACCGCAGCTTTTGTTGTTGGAGAGTTCAACGAAATTTCACCTCAATTATTTTTCGTTATTTCATTCGAAACGTTTCGCACGAAATTTCGTTTATTCTCACAAATTTGGGTTGTCGATTTCAATTTTTTTCTTTGCACTAAGAAATGAATTCATTTAATATGATCAATGTCTCGAAGTTCACTTCGTCCTTGTGTTTAACATTTATTTAGTACTGTGATCATTGATTGGGGGAAAATGGCAATGGTGACGAAGTGGCACAGGCATCCTGGATAAGTTAGAGTTCTTTGATTTCCTGAATCAGGATCGCTTACAATGTAATTGCTATGGTTGCTTCTAGTCCCCCTGGCTTGTAGAGAATTTTATCCAGTATAATAGCTGTTGCTACGTAGCTGTCTTTTGAGTGTTCTACTACCCGTGAAGTTAGAGTTGTTCGGGAGTGCCTGTTAATGCCTATAACATCTACTATCGCGGAATGACTCACTGAGGTACAAGTGGACTGTAATCTGTTGGAACTCAGGCTGACGATTGACGTATGCCACAAAAGTTATCTCTACATCCACTGCTACTTGTGCACGAATTGCATCGTTATTTTGAAATACAACACAACTTCTAGAATCGACCAGCGAGCTTTAACACGAAAAAATACACGATGTTATTTTGATTCCCACACTTATTTGTTTCCGGATCGGACAGAATGCGTCGATTATATTCTTCGGCTTTTTTAATTTCCATACAACGAAGTATTCTCGTAGAACTTCGAATATATCAGCTTAGTCGGTCTGCTTGCCTAGATTATTGAGTACAAGTTGCGCGAGTCTGCTCCATATTGTGCTTAAAGTTCGACGAAAGGGAGAAATTCTTTTCAGTATGTCCGCGGAACCGGCGCAGTTTACAGAGGGAACAGCTCGGAGAACATCTCATTACCAGCGTGGATCTTCAAATGATCTTCTTCGAAACAAAACGCTTTCGATAGGTTTTCGGTATCTTGCTCCGGCTACAATAAGCCTTACTTTTGGTTAAGACGGTGGTTCCCTTCAGAATCAGCGATCAGATCTTTTACAAAGGGTGTTTTTTCGGGGGGAAGGGGTGATAACAGCGTTAGGCGCATTTTTTATCTGTGGTTGTATCACCGTCATTTTCTTTGATAGAATTGATTTTCCTGGAAATGATCTTCTCAACCTACTCTAACCGCAAAAATGGCATCCTCGGAAAATATTTGCAAGATTTATTCCGGCCATGCTTTCTCCACTTCCAAGCTGTTTTCTCCCTCGTCCATACGAATTTTCAATAAAATGCTTACCTCTCCTGTCCATCGTTGATTGTGCAGTTGATTGAGAACTTCGGCTTTCACCGAAGAAAGCTATAGTTAATGCCTTATCACTGAGCTCGCTTAGTGTAGAGAATGACGAAGAGAAAACGATGCGTGACTTCCTTGCGAAGTGTGCGTTGGCACACTCTTATGGTTAAGCTTGGCAAGAAGTGTAGCTGACTTCTTTACTCAGTCGTCATTTGGGTAACAAAGTCGGCAACGGTTTCTTCGTTCGCTGTTCGTCTCTGACTCATACAGGTCTAATTGATAGCCCACTTACCTTTACACGTTTGCTTCTCGCTAGAAAGGCCATTTGCGCATTTACATACTTCATATTCGATATGAATCTACGTGTATGTCTTTATGTGTGTGTTAAAATAGGTAGTTCAAAATGTCTGAATCACTTCTGCATTTACAAGCAGCAGATCACCTACATAACGTTGGTAATCATCCAGACCAAATAATTTCGGTACAATTGTTTTTTAGTGCGCCAAAATTGAAAGACTTGTGTCATTCTCGCTTGTGATCCTAACATTTTATCCACTTTGACAAAAAATCATGCATTTTAGCAGAAGCGAGGAACGAAGGTGTCGGTTGGAAAAATGAGTTTTAATAAAAAAAAAATAAAATAACGCAGAACAAATACTCACTTCGGCGGCGGCGACCCCATGAAGATGACCGCCTAGCGGCGTGGACTGAAGCGTAGATTTTCGGAATTGACGTCGGAAGGGAAGAACTAACACCAGATGAAAAAGACATCAACGCGTTCCTGGTCTCGTCCAATGAAGACGTGTAAAGATTCTGAGTAAAAACCATATGCGAAAGCGTCGCCAAAAGCATGACGCTGGCAGCTGCCTTGAAACTTAGGCGCAATCGAGTAATAAAAAACGAATTTTGAGTTTGGGTCCCCATCACTTTTAGCCTAGCCCTAGCTTTTTCGCACTTCAAGTACGGATCGTGTTCTAGCTGAATTTAAAGGTATGTGTTTGGATAGGAGATTAGCCGGAAAAGTGAACTCGTTAAATTTAATTCAGTGACACTAATTGCAAACCTAATTTTTTAGCGAGAAAAAAATTGAATCTATACAAAGGTTATTTGACGGACATCTATCAAAGCCACCAATTAATTCGTTCCTAGCGTTGTAAGTTGATACAGTCCAAAAGGTTTTTACTCGTACGAAACGCAAAATAAATGTTATAAGCAGCGTTTCTCAATTTTCTTTCCATAATATCGAGTTTTAGACCGTGACCTTGTTATTTCAACGACTTTTTTTAAACGTTCGAGTTGTTTTCGTGTGTATTTACACAAGTTCTCGACATTTTACCGCTAACATAGTCGCTTTACCACTAACGTTCCTTCGTAATAGATATGTATATCGTTATAAAAAGGCGACGAGTTTAGAGATTTTGATAGACTTAAATTATTCGAAGCAATAGACGACGGTAAATGATTGGCAACAATGAGCTACAAACCTCACCGGATGTAATTTATTTCAGTCTCTCGGTTGATAAATAGTGTCAAAATTTATTAATCTGTTGTAATGGTACTCAATCCGCACGTGGCTATTTATCTAATTATTTTATTTTTGATTTCGTTTTAATCGCCTTGCGTTGGTGTTTTTATCCTTTTTGTCGCATTGTTTTTGTTGTATTGTTTTTATGTAAATATTTTCGAGTTTTAGTCAGTATATCGCTAGCATTCGATTGTATAGATTTAAGCACGTGTTGAAAAATTTTTACTTTTCAACTTGAAATTACTGTCGAACGGTCAAAACGTCGTTGTTTTATAACGTTAATCTTCATAGTGAAGTTATTAACTCACTGTCTATTAGGTGCTAAGCGTGATTTTGCACAAATTGTAAGATTTACTCTCAAAACGAGAAAAAAACAAACCAAAAACGAAATTAACAAATGGTGTTTGTCGGCTTCTTGAGACGGTTTCATATCGATTAAATTTTCACAGAAAATAAAACAAAAACTGTTTCTCGAGTGTTTTCAAGAAAACTACTCGGAAGATGCATGGTTGTCCCTAAAATGCTCTAAAAGTTATTTCCTTTTGTTCTTTGGGTTAAAAAAATTCGCCATGCGAAAATCGTTGTTAAAAAATAAGCCTTGAAGGCAAAAATCGCGCGAATATTTCTCTTGTGCGAACAGACCAAATTAAATACAATTTATTCAAGAACGAAAAAAGATGACGTGTAAAATTTGAAATCCTCGATTGAACTAACGTTTTCGCTTTAGTGCACTCGGCAGTTCTTTGAGAGGATCCTCCGCAAAGTCCAGCGCCCGCCGCTTTGAAGAGAAAACTTCCATCTGATAGCGCGGAGGCATACAAGGAGATTCCTACTTTCGATATTCGTTATATCACGTACACTACCTAATATTGTTATACGTCTATTGTTTGATGATCTCTTAATTACTTCCCAAATGGTCACAGCCTCAAAGCGTCTAATATCGCCTCTTTAGACTGATTTGTGGTTGCTAACAAACTGTAACCAAATAAATGTGACTAAAGGCAATTTTCACGCACGGTTGTTAGGAAAACTAAGACCCCGAAAACTAAGACCTGAGACCTAAGACTTACCTGCTGATCTCTGTTTGACAGGTCTTCAAATTTCAACCAATCAGCGCACGACTCGCAAACAGCTTCGGGGGGGAGTCCATTCATTCGAGAGCGCATCGCGAAACGAAATAAACGTGGCGTGTGAATTGTTGTGGCTTTTATCGTGTTTAGCTCGACATTAATTTTGTTTCGCTTGTTGAGAATTTTGTGATACTCCAGTAAGGTTTAAAGACATCGAATGTCTTAAGTTAGACGTGTTATTTATGCTGATGTAGCGGCGGATAGCTGTTCAAAGCTCTGGGACAAGATAAAACTCTTACCGTGTGTCATGGTCATTCTTCCTTGTCGACGCAAGTAACAGGGCTACTATGGCTTAAAGATTTCTTGAAAAGATGATGAATTCCACCGAAGATTTTAATAAGCCGAGTCAGATCACTTCCTTCTGGCTGTTTAAGTAGTTCTAAGACGACGAGCTGTGCTTCGCGTACTGTCTGGGGGTTTTTAACTACGGGGAAGAACGCCTCAGGATCCATCATGTCTTGCCTCTGCTGATGATAGTTTTCTCGTATTCCCCAGTTAGCTGCCATCTGGAGATATCTGTCGGACTGAATTAAAGTACTCACGCTTTTGTTTGGCTGGTGAAAGTTAATTTCAAGTCGAGTCTTCTCCTCTGACCCAGACGTATCGGAACCTTCGGAGCATTCTGACCATGTTGTTGAACTCTGTCGACCGGACTCGTCTATGGTGGCCGAGAACTGCCATTAAACATATTCAATTTTATAGGAATTACTTTTGTTATTTTTTTCTTTTTAAAATAAAAGCAAGTGAAAGTAAAATGTAAAATAGAAATAAAATGAAACCAAAGATAAATGAAATCAAATCAAAATTAAATACTACCCGGCCGAGCGCTGCCACTAGTTCTTTTTGTTTTTTTTTCNGTGGCAGTAACAGTTTGAGAGCCAAAAATTAGGATAAATTGAAATCCTAACAAAACTCTTGCGTGGCATTCATACTCCTGTCTGGTTAATTATTTTGGAGTGTTTAAAATCCATTGGAAAATTTTTTTGAGGCCAGTGCAAAAACGTACCAATATTTCGCTGACCAAAGGGCTAAAACCAGAGTTGTTCAAAAGTTCCTCTGCTTTTTCGTAAAAGGCCAAAACACCATTTTCAACAAATGTGACATCATAACTGCTTAGACAAACTTTTCGAGCAACTTTCTGTACTTCTATAAACCATTGTTTTTTATTTTGTTTGAGAGCCTCAGCTACTTGGCCAATTTTTCGCACAATAGTTTCTGTAGCTCTTGTAGCTTGGTGCATCATTGCTGGGTAGAAATTTACCAGGTCAAGTTGAGAAGCATTAGGATGTCCAGTTTGAGCAAGGTGCTTCTTTGCATATTCTCGTCTGCCATAGATGATATTTAACATTTTTTGTTAATTTTAATTACCAAAAAAATAATGCTTAATTTATTCAACGATTAATTTATTAAAGTAAAGTGCCATTAAATCAAATAATAACCTGTTTTCAGTATTATCCACTCGCTTTCCCAACCATGTCTTGTACTGTTCTTCTCCTTTCTCAATCATTTCTACTTTCCACACAGGCTCATTACAGATTACTCTCATATCCCCAAGTTGCTTTTGGTGTTCTGGTGACTCTGGAATCGGGTAACAGGAGCTGGCAGAAGAACTTCCGGTAATTGATCTTCGTTGACAGCCATCTGCAACACCACACACAATGACTTCTATGTTCTTCTTCAGAATTGGGTGATAAACTGACTTCAAACTGGACAGCTGTTGAAGAGTTTCTCGTCCAAGATTACTTACATGGTTGTAGTTATCTGGGCCTAACCAAGAACACACTGTAACAATGCAGCTTAACAAGTTGTGGGGCTCCTGCAATTTGACTCTTATTGCTGTTTCTCCAGTAAAGAACTTACTCCACTGCATCCATGGGAACGCAACGATGTAGTGATAAACAAGTAATTTTTCTTTAGGGACCATTATTGTTTCCTGTAGAGTTATTTTGCTAAGTAGCCATTCCATAGTGTTTTTGACATTTGTGTATGCTGCAACAACACCATTGTGTTCAGTAAAAGTCAGTGACAAACTTTCTTGCAGAGCCTCCTTTTGTACCTTGAGCTTTTCACATACGTCATCTTTTGGTACCATGATATTGATTCCAAAAACATGTTCTAGTTCTTTACCAAGCTGATTTCGGACTGTGTTTTGATATTTAGTGTAGCCAATGTCAAAATTACTTACTAGTTCAGCTGCAAACTGGACAAAATGATTGAAATTCTTCTTGAAAATGACTGGCATGAGTGCCCTCTTAAAAAACTCTCCATCTTTATGTGAAATAATTAAGTCGACCAGCTCAGCTTTTTCTTGTGGATCTTGGGGCATGTTTAAATCGTCAATAA